CCCCTCCCGGCTCGGCGGGGGTGCTCCAAACCACCCCCACTGATTCGTTTGTATGGTGGGAGGGGCCGGGAGTGCCAGCCAGAGCCTGAGGCGCAAGGTGCTGCACATGCCCAGGCCAGGCTGTGGGATGGACGAGCTCCGCCCTGCATCCCTGGCGCCTGGTCCCACACATCAGCCTACCTGGAGGTGCAGCGTGTGAGAACACAGCTTTTGCTACTGCAGCACGGGGGTGGGGACTGCTGGCCGGGGCAGGAGGGAAAGGGAGAAGGGGGCACTAGCCCCAACCCAGGCGGTTTCAACCTTTTTTTCTCATGCCCCAGTTGATGAAAATTGTTGATGCTGCAACTCAGCAGAATGTGTCTGGAGTGCAGGCTCCGGGGTGGGCTGAGGAGGAGCTTTGGGGGCAGGAGGGGGCTCTGGCTTTGGGTGGGGCAGGGCTGGGGCAGGAGGGGCTGGCCTTGAGGGGGTCCCGGTCAGCGGTGCAGAGGGGGGGCTAAGGCAGCCCCCTGCCTGTCCTGGCACCACAGACTGTGATCCCCCCAGAAGCAGCCGGCAGCAGGTGGGCCGGAGGCTCCCTCGCAGGGCCCAGCAAACGATGCCCTAGAGCCCTCCCAGCCGAGGCTCGGGGCAAACCCCCAGCCAGAGCCCCTGAAACAGTTAACGGGCTCGGAGCCTGCCCAGGCTCCCTCCCACTGGCATGATCTCACCTCTCCCGTCTGCCAATCCCCGCGCAGCGCTCCAGCCAGGGAGCCCAGCTCCCGGCAGAAAGCAGAGGCAGGCAGCGCGCCTGCTAGCTGGGGCCCTGGGAGAGCTGGTCCTGAGCACAGACAAAGGCAGTGTGCAGGACCTGCCTGTCTCCTTTCAGGGACAGAGCAGCCCAGCGGTGGGTGGCGCAGGGTCCTCCTGCGCCCGGCTCCCCTCCCTCCTTCCCTCCGGAATTGTGTCTGCTTTCTGCTCTGCCTGCCGCTATGATGGGCTGCAAGTCCAACTCGCTCACTTGTCTGCAAGGAGGGAAGCCAGTGCTGCCTCTGAGCCCGGCCACGGACTCCACAGCCACGCTCAACAAGCTGGCTCTGGCCACGGGCGGTGCGGAGAAATCCTGGTACCGCTGCATCTTCCCCTTCGGCATCGTCTCCCTGGTCATCGGCGTGGCCGCCACGTGCATCACCTTCGGCATCAATGGGCCACAGATGGACATCGCCAAGGCGGTCTCAGTGGCCACCCTGATGTTCGGGGTGGGGCTGCTGGTGGCCGCCTACATCTGCTGGCGCGCTAAGCGGGAGAGGCAGCGGCAGCGGCAGCGAGAGGAGCCGCTCTCCTTAGAGCAGGGCGCCCTATGAGCGGTCCTGGCGTGGTGCGCATGCACCACCCCCACTGGTAGACCCAGGCTGGTGACAACTCCCCTCTTCCCGTGCCCCGTGGCAGAGGAGGGGGCTCTGTGGGCCACACCAGCCCGTGCGAGCCTGGCTCCAGCCTGCCAGTACTTGCTGATGGAACGGAGCCAGGGCCTGGTCCGGACCACGGAGGGTCACAAGCAGGGAGGTGCTGCTGGCGGCCCGGCAGGCTTGGATACCCCAAGGAGCTGTCCAGACAAGCTGCTTTCAAAAAGCAATACTCTCAGGGTGCGCGGCTGGGACTGGCTTTAAAGGGCACCAGAGATCCCGGAGCGACCCGTCTCTGCGTCCACACCCGGCACATCCAAGAGCAGCTTCGTCTCGCCCGGAGACCACGGAGTGGCACTGGAGAGCTGGCACGGCAAGAGAACGAGGGACCTGTGTCTCTGGGGGGGGGCAGAAAAAGACTGGAAATGCTTGGATTGGCCTGCCCCTCACTCCAAGAGCCCTGCCAGTGCCCACACCGGGGATTT